CCAAATACCCCACAGGATGGAGAAGTAGAGGAAAAAGGATCACCGTGTGACCATGACCCATTTGGGTGTGCACTTTCTCCTTCTCCCTGTGTCTCATGACACTCTGGCAATGAAAAAAACAATTTCCTGTCCTTTTTGTAAATACTCAGGAGTTGAATTGCTAGGTCATATGGAACTTGGTAGCCATAAAACAAGAGTTAATAAAGGAAGAGCTTGGTGTCGCCAACTCTATGTCAGGAAATTCAAGTCAAAAAAAATTTTTTTTAAATCTGCAGAGGATTTCATTGATGTTACACAGGCTTTTCAGGGCCAGTACAGGAAGCCAAAGGCAAGGTGTGTTTACCTCCATCAATCTTAATAGCTGTTGATGCCTTGGGTCTGTATAAAATTGGAAAACCAAATTTATAAGATTAAGATACTCTTGAGAGAAGCAGCTTCATTTTTGCCTGATTAATTTAGGTTATTTCTGAATGTACATGGTCAAAATACATATAATAATTCTTCCTACACATATAAAACATATTTTATGTAATAAAATGCATATTTAAGTTGGGGTGGAGAACTTTAGATTATAAAGAAGACAAACTAGACACCTCAGTGAGTGAAGTCTGAAATCAAGAAAACTTTGGATCAGAAAAGTCATGACAGGGACCAGCAGTTAGCGTAATGGCTATGTCGCTGGACTGCCACGTAGTCGACTGCAGTTCGAGTCCCGGACCCGGTGGCTTAAACTCACGCCAGGCGCGTGTGCATGCGTGCCCAAGATCCCAAGAGGAGAATGGAGGAGAAGGGATTGCGGCATGGCCATTCCCCCTAGGAGGTGATTTCTCGCTTTCTGTCTCTCTGTCTCTCTCTCTGTCTGTCTGGCGAGCAAATGCGCCCTAAAGCAAAAGACTCTCAAAAAAAAAAAAAAAAAAAAGGAAATTCATGATGTATTTTTCTGTTTTTCTATGCAAAAATGCATCATGGCTGTTTTGATGACCCAATGGATTATAGTCACATTTTATGATGGGCAAAATCAATTGAGCTTATATAACATAGGATTAAAGCAAAGAATCAGATTTCTGGTTTGAAACCTGCTACTACAAGATAGTAACTATACAACCATACCAGTCGGTCTTTAGCTTTTCTTACCTATAAGATGAAATAAAAATTAATATGTGCTTTGGGGTCATCAGGTGGCATGATAGTTAAGGCTCTGGATTCCTACATGGCTGACTGTGGTTTGAGTTCCATACCCAGTGGCTTGAAAATCACTCTAGGTGTGGGTGTGTACATGCCAAAATCCTGAGAGATGAATGAAAGAGAAGTGATTGCCTCCTGGCCATTCCCCTGGGGGGTGATTTCTCACTTTCCTTTTTCTCTGCTTCTCTCCAATGAATATCTATGTGATATTGCAAAAAACTAACTAAATAAATAAAACTTGCCTCAAAGGGTCATTCTGGGGATTAAATGAGTTGATACAGGAAAAGTGCTTACAACTCCACTTAGGAAAAAGTAAGAATTTAATAAAATGTTAGTTATTATCTTAATGTGCTTAATTTATAAAGTGACTTTTCATGCATGAATCAAATATATAATTGGATGTCAATACAATTAAGAGTTTTACACTTGCCCATCATGATACAAATGCATAGTTATAAAAGAGTTGCCATTCAATGTTTGTATAAGTGGCAAAATGTCTAAATGGAGATATAAAATTTTTTAAAAATTATTCCTCTTTATGGATTAAAAAAAGATAGTGACTGATAAATTTTTTTTTGGGGGGGGGAGGTTTTCGCTATAGGTCACATGTGCTCGCCAGACAGACAGAGAGAGAAAGAGAGACAGAAAGCGAGAAATCACCCCTCAGGGGGGATGGTCATGCCGCAGTCCCTTCTCCTCCATTCTCCTCTCGGGATCTTGGGCACACACGCATACGCGCCCGGCGTGTTTTGAGCCACTGGGTCCGGGACACGAATCGTGGTCGACTACATGGAAGTCCAGCAACATAGCCATTACGCTAACTGCTGGTTCCCATGACTGATAAATATTTTGAAGGCATTTCAATATTGTGGACAATTTTAGTATATTGTCATGTACAGAATTTAAGTGAAAGTACATGGATTTGCGTTTGACATTAATTCCCATATTACTGAAAAATGTAGCATTCAATTTTTTAGAACTGAGTGGGAAAAAAAAAACAGTATTTCTTTTGTTCACTATATCCTTATAGTATTCTCAATATAGTTTTCCCATGAACTTACCACTTTGATAACTAAGTTCAAAACAAATAGAAATTTTAAAACTCATACTACCTTGTGTTTTTTTTTCTAAGTGTACCCGGCTAGAGAAATAGTCATTGTTCTACAGTAGTAACTAAAGTTTGTTATTTCCTTAAAAGTAATCACTTTTCACCCTATAGCATCATCATCAAAAATATAAAATACAAAGGGATAGAGCTTACAAAAGCTTTTAAATTTTTTGTTATGTTTTTAAACTTATGAAAGTTACAGAAAATGCCCTACCAAATACCTGTGTGTTTGCTATCCAGTTTTACAAATGTAAGCATTTTGCTATATTTGCTTCAGTCTTTTTAATAAAATACTCAAGATCCCTGAAGTTTCCTGAAAGCACTGTCCACTAAACTGAGTTTTCTAAATATAATTTCCATGTTTTCTTAGTAGATTAATATATTTTTGTTCATAGACATATATATAAAATAAATAATTTATAGTAGTATTTCACATGATTTTACTTTGTATCGTACCGTATTATATTCTGCAAATTTGGATGTTTATTTCACTCATCATAATAGTTTGTTATTTCACTGGATGACTATATCATAATAATATAATTCATTCTCTTATTGATTTACTATTTAATTAATGTTGCAATAAATGTTCTTTAACAAATTTCTTGTGCACAGGTGGGAGAATTTTTCTAGAATAGAAAGGAAATAATAGAGTAGAATATTCTGAATGTTCGGATATGTAAACTTAAAATTCTACATATTGACAAATGTATCTTAAAAAGAAGTGCAAACTTTCTGTCCACAGTCTGTAAGAAGTCCTATATCTTTAAATCATTTTCTATACATTTCTGCAAAATAATTTGCAATTTATCTTGAATAACAAAATTTTCAAATTTTGCTTTTATGTTTGCACACTCAAATGGATGATTGGAAATGAAAAGAGTGTTACTTATTTCATAAGTTGGATTTAGCTCACTTGTAAGGTGTTATGAGACATAAGACCAGCGATTTCCAATTAGGGCTATACATTAGATTTTCCAGGGTGCTTTAAAAAAATCTTAATGTGCAAGGCCCACTCCAGACTAATTATATCAGATTCTAGTTGTAATCTATGGTTTTAATACAAAGAGTAGCCACACTAACTAGGGGTGTGCAGGAGAGGGGATGAGGGTATTTCTTGCCCCAAGTCCAAGCCCGGGAACACAGGTCCTAAAGCAATCCCACTATACAGTCAATATTAGTGATCAAACTGAAGTTTGATTCTCAATAGCTTTATCTAGAATGCATAGGTTAATTAATGACTGAAGAACAATACTCTGTATTCCAGGACATGGCAATGCTTGATACCAGGAATTGAGCAAGAGTTAGTCTCATTATAGTTTGGAATACAACTATGGGTTACAAGAGCTAGGATCTAGTCTGTTCAGGGAAAAGCAAGCTGTAAAGTACAAACAACCCATCATAACCCCTAAATTGGTTGGTTTTCAGGACTTTGGTGTCCACCAAATATAGAAGTATGATTTAGGATATAAGACACAAACCTATGCAAAAAAATTTAGAAAAAGGCAGTGAGGGGTAGAGAAAGTCTTTGTCTATGGAGGCGCCATTTGCTAATAGCAGACACGGTAATCTAATTCTGGTGCTAGTTAAAGATGTTCAGCCAGACTTAATTAGGATTGGTTTTGGTAATAAGTTATTTTAAGCTCCTAACTTGCTCAGCAGG